CCCCAAAACCCCAAAACCCCTGAATAAAAGATAAGTTCATTCTGATCAAAATCAGAAATAATATAATAAATCTAATTCAAAATATCTTGTGCTTATTCTTGGATATAGCAAAAGCATCTTATCTATAATAAGCTTAATATCATTCATTGAAGTAAACCAAGACTTTACTTATATTTGGAAATGAATTGTAGTTCTTTAAGCTCATCGATGAGCAGTAGTCTCCTTTACATTTATTTACAAGATAGTGTCCTATTGGAGGAACTTAAAATGGTGTAGGTTCAGGGTTTCCCCTTCCAAGGCTTGCATGAAAGTAAATTTCTACTAGACAGCAAAGACCTAAAACTACGCACATTTCAGGATCTGTATTAGTCTAGCTTAGAGCTAGAGATTTTAATTGAAGTCTTCATCTGTTCAGAGATAGACTTATGATGTCGTTTAAGCGAGAGCAAACTAAAATAAACTTGAATCCTGCTTCTTATATGCAGTATTCTCTGTGCTAGCTATGTCTACAATTTCAGAAAGAAAAATACCAGAATGGCAGTGAGAAAAGTGCCAGACTTGATTTTAAGCTTATTATCACTGCAAGTCCTCTATATTAAATCCAGAATTTTCTGATTTACAACTAATCCTAAGAGAATAAATAATTATTCTCCTGCTCATTTTTAATTTCTGGATATCTTAAGCCCTCCTCCAAGATTAACTTGTGCCACATTTGGTAAATATAGTTCTATTAATTTTAACTGGATGTCAGCAATATCGACACAATTATTTAGTTTAGTGCCAGCACCAGTTTGAGTGAACCGTCCTGATTTAATACCAAGCTCATCAACCTTTTAGATTATTGAATCAATATGCTCAAACCAAATTCCAAGCTGTTGGACCAGATAAAATGGTCTTTTGACAGGCACGAGATCCTTCACTAGGATAAATCCTGATTTCTTAGACTTGATTCCTATTCTAGATTTGACAAATAACTCAAGTTGCTCAGATGAGCTTGCAATTATTCTGAGTTTTTCACAACCTTATATTTTGGGGATATATGATATAAATTTCAGCTAGGTTTCCTAAGACTAATCCTATATTAGATGCATCGATACCAGAATTTGTCACTTTTTAAACTTCAAAAACTGAGCTGCAGTAAAAGTACAAACCATTCATTTCAAATATTTTTTCAGTACACTTTTTATTTTAGTTTGCCTTCATTCAGTTATCTAAATTAATGGACTCTTATGCTCGCATCTAGGAAACTCTATAACAGAAGCTTAATCTTATCTTACTAACTCTTTTCCAGATTTACACATAGTAATAAAACTCATCATCATCATATTCTTTAGTTCTTAAATTAGAATTTTAAGGTCTTCAATACCAAAAAGGAGTAAGAGAGGCAGGTTACTTATAAAATACTAATAAATATATATTAT